CCCCCCTCCCCCTCCCCTCCTATTATGATTGGCAGCTGGTGTTTGTGCACTGAAGCTTCTAGCGTCCGGCTGGCCAGCTCGCCATTCCAGTGCAGCGCCGCGCCGGCCCACCACCTAACCCATGTGCGGGGTCAACTGGTAAGAAGGCGGCCGGCCAAACTCGATCCGCGTTATACGGTCGGGCTCCCGCGAAACGGATCGGCTCCCGAACGGGAGGTCGAAACGCTTTGACCCGAGCGCGTGTGCGCGCCGTGCAGGTTTCCAAAAGGAACGCTGCTGAGGAGCTGGCTGACCAAGTCCAGGCCCCGCCTCCTGCTGCTGATCGCCGGGCTCAAGCGACCTCAGGTGACCTTGATGAGGAGGAAGAGGATGAAGAGAACCAAAGTAGCCAAGGCCACGTAAGCGGTAAATATGGCGGCTGGCGGGAAAGGAGCCCGGCAAACGCCACCGACGAGAGGGTCCGCGGGCCGCAAATTTGAAATCGGGGCAAAGGCAAAAAAAAAAATGGCCGCCGCTCATCTCGAGCTTTTGTTTGTTTTTGGTTTTTTTTTCCCGTAAGCTTCGACGGGCCGGCGACAGGAATGCGAGCATTCGGACTTTGTGGTCAAATGTGGTGTTTTTGTTGTAGAACGTGCAATAGAATGCCGCACTTCACCTGAGGCCCGCACGACGTCGACGACGACGCCGCGCCGGACCCGCTCGATGACGTCCGAGATCCCGACGACCACCATTTCAAACGCGGCCTTCGTTAGCCCACGCAAGGTCGCTAACGAGTCCGCGCGGCGCTAACGAGTAACAGGCGGCGGCGGGCCAACGTGTCAACATGGTGGCTGACGCTAAGGAAGTTAGCCCGTTCTTTGCTAAGGTGCTGACTTGGAGTGTAACGTGTGACAATCCAAACATTTCTGCCGCTGGTATTAGTCGACGGCGTCGCCGTGGCAACGACCCCCCCCCCGGCCCCCGCTGTTTGCTTGAAGAGGTCACCTGGGACATTTGAGGCATCCCATCAATAAAAATCCACCCAAAATGTCAAGAACGGCTCATTTGGTTCATGTCACGTGTGGACATTATTTTTTTTCTTTTTTTTTTTTGGGGGGGGGGACTGGATGGCAAACCGCATCCTCGCACAAAAAAAAAAAAAAACTCGAGGAACGAGGCTGACGGCGTTCGAGTACACAATCAATCGTTTTATCACAGTCAGGCTCATCCTGGCATTTCACACCCCCCGCCCCCTTTTTTTGGGGGGCGGGGGGGGGGGCGGGGCCTCTATGGACGCTCCAGCTTCTTCTTTCCGTTTGGACTTGGGTGAATGACGCCTCCGATCCAGCGGCGAACTCTCCTCTTCCATCCGGACGTGCCCGAGAGAGCGCCGGAATCGGAGTAAGCGTTTGCGTTCATGGGGCGGGCCTTACAGGGGGGGGCGGAGACTTTGAGGCGCGGCGTCAGGCGGCGCGCTGAAGGCCCTGGTACGGCAGCAGTTGCTCCGGCGACAGCGAGGGCCGGAAGTCGCGCAGCGCCGCGCCAAAGTCCTCCATGGTGAGGCGCAGCGGCGAGTCCTCGGAGTCCAGGCCTGGGACAAAAAAAAAAGGCGAGGTTGACTCGGGCGGCGGCGTGAACCGCCGGCGCGGCGCGTCGGCTCCTCCTCCCGCCCTGACGACCGACCCCGTTGGATGGCGGCGATCTTCCTCTTGACGGCGGCCGTCATGGCGTCCGAGCACAGCGCGTACAGGTCGGCGCCGCTGGTGTAGGCGGGGCAACGCTCCAACACCCGCCGCGGGTCCACCGAGGCGTCCAGGCGGAAGCTGAGGGCGAGCCGGTCAGACGGGCGTTCGGGGCGTTTGGCGCGGCGGCGGCGGCGCTCTTACCTTCGAAGGACGGCCCGGAGGACTTGCAGTTGGGAGCTCGGGTCCGCGTTGATCCCGACGTAGACCAGCTTGTCGAACCTGCGCGGAGGACACGCGAAGACGGTCGGTGCTCCTCGGCGCGGCGCGAACGCTCGCCGTTCTCAAAAAATGGCGGGGGGGTCCGGACTGACCTTCCGGGCCTGAGCAGGGACGGGTCGAGCAGGTCGGGTCGGTTGGTGGCGCCGATGACAAACACTCTGTCCCCGGCGCGGAGAGCGTCCAGCTCGGCCAGCAGCTGAGACACCACCCTGGCGGTTTCGAGGTCGACTTTGGGCAACCGCCCGAGAATCCGCCGCGGCGGGTTCGCGCGCGCTTACCTGTCCGTCACCCCGCCGGAGTCTCCGCTGCGCCCCCGGCCGGGCGCCAGAGAGTCCAGCTCGTCGAAGAAGACCACGCAAGGGGCCGCCGAGCGCGCTCTCTGAAACACTGAGGGTCGAAAGGTCGGGTGAGGTCGTCGGCGACCGCACGCTAGCCGCTAGCCCGTAAGCGCGCCGAGCCGCGTCGGGCGACGGCCGAGCTTTCGCATCCGCGTGCCGTCGTTTCACCCGAGTCGACGTAACGCGGTTCCGGCGGGCGCTCCGCAAGGAACCCGCCGAGTCCCTTTTGACTTCCCGACGGGGAGGCCGTGCCTCCGTTTTGCCGTCTTCCGCGCTGCCAAAATGATTTGGCGCTTTTCGAGCGGGGGGTTTCTTTTCGCTTGGATGGCGAGAGACGATTTGAATCACGAGCGAGGACGACGGGCGTCCGCGGAGTCCGAGCCGCGTCGCAAAAAGCCGGCCGGCGCTCACCTTCTCGGACGTTCTCCTCGCTCTGGCCCACGTACATGTTGAGCAGCTCCGGACCTTTCACGCTGAAAAAAACAAACAAACCGTCGTTCCTTCTGTCACTTCAGCGGCCGGACCGCCCAACGGCGTCGCCTCATTTGCGTCAGTTTGACCCGAGGCGCCCGACGTACCGCGTACATTTTTCGGCATCGCGCGCACGAAAAGCCCGCGGAAGGAAACTTTGGGCGCAACCCGCAGATTAGCGCCAAGCTAGCGGTTCAACGATGGGCCGGCGTTCGGAGCGCGGCACATCTGCCGCGCGGGGGGTCCGGCCGGCGGGCGATTCTGAACTCCTTCGCTCCCGAAGACGTTTTGAAACGTCTTTTCGAACCCGGTCCGGAATTGGCCCGGTTCCGAATGAGTTAACGGTGTCCCGCGCAAAGAAAATCACGGAGCTCCTCGAATTGGACCGACGCCTGACCCGAGCCGCGCCGTCGGAGGGCGGAGCTGACCTGAGGAAGGTCACGGAACATTCGGTGGCCACGGCCTTGGCCAGCAGAGTCTTGCCCGTGCCGGGAGGCCCGTAGAGCAGAACGCCGGTGCGGTTGAGCCGGAGCGACAGCAGCTGCGGACGCCGAAGAGGGAGCTGCACCGTGTCCAGGACCTCCCGCTTCACCCGCTCCAGGCCGCCCACGTCCTCCCAGCGCACCGCCGGAATCTGAGCGCGCACGTCGCGGCGTTTCGTCACAAGTCCAAGCGCCTCGTCCGCAATCGGAACGGGAAGGGGCCTGACCTTGGGGGCGCCGGCGGCCTCCGATCGGGCGTCCCGCAAGGTCCGCAGAGCCGACAGGAAGTCCCGCTGCCGGAGGCCCACGCCGCCGGAGCGCACGTCCTCCTCGCGCCGACCGGGGCTGAAACGAGACACGCAACGCGCTGCCACGGCCGCCGGACGGGGAACGCGGCGGACGTTTGCCGACCAGCCCGGCGACGCTCACCAAGCCAGGACCAGCCGTCTGCACGCCGCGCGGCCGGCCTCCACCAGCAGGGCGCGCAAGTCGCCCAACGCCAAACCCTCCGCGAGCAAAGGGGGGGGGGGGGTAACAAGTGAAAAGACACGTTGACGAGAAAGGGGCGGCGGGCCCGGACGGCTCAAGTTGGACGTACGGCCGTGACTTTGGCGAGTCGCTCCATGTCGACGTCGCGCGAGAGGCCGACGTAGGGCCGCAGCAGGAGCTGCAGGTTCCCGAGCAGAAGGACGCAAGGCTGCAGCGCGTGGGCTCGTTCCAGCAGGGAAGTCAGGCGCGCCTCGGTGGCGGCGGGCGTGTCGCCGCGCACGCCCACGCAGTCCACCTACGTGCGGCGAAAGCAGGCGCGGGATCAGGGCGGGGCCCGCAGACGCCGCCACCGCCGTCGCTTTGCCGCTTCCCGCCGGCCCGTGGACCAGGAGCCTGCACGCCGGGAGGGAGCTGGCGAGAAGGCGTCGCGGCATCAGGTCACGCCGCCGCATGCCCCGCCCCCGACGCCATCATTTCGCCGTACCCGCGTCGGTGCGGGCCGAGGACCCGTCCGATGGCGTCCACCGCGCGCTCCAGACCCGGCGGGGACTCGCCGCTCCACAGCGTCGCCGCGCCGGGGGGCACCGAGCTGTTGACGGGCGCCCCCTGTGGGCATCCGTGCACGGGTCAGAGGTCGCAGCGGACAGGCTCGTGGCTTGACTGGAAGGGTCAAAGGTCACCATGAAGAGGGACGTGTGCGTTGTGTCGGCCAGGTAACCTCCGCCCCCTTCTTCTTCTTCTTCTTCTTCTTCTTTCGCCGGGTCGGGGGGAGACACCGTCCGCACCAAAAACAGCAGCGCCCGGCGCCTGAGTGGGGTCAAAGGTCAAAGGGTGAGAAGGCTCGCCTTCCTGACGCAACGCGCTGTCCGTCACCTCCAGGAAGCGCTGTCCTCCATCACGTCCGGGTGACTGCGGGTGGGAACCAGCAGGACGTCCCCCGGTGCCACCAGCCTGCGCCCCCCCCCACACACACACGAGTCAGGTCACAATTTTACACCCGTGATGTCGCCCGGGGGACTTGGCGTTGACCCACCTGGGTACAGAGAAGTGGGCGGCCAGCAGCGCATCGTAGCAAGTCGGCCGCGGGTCAGCCGGCGCCGCCAGCGGTCGCAGGTGAAGCTCGCCGGCCAGCG